TTTATTCATTGAAACCAGAGACTCTTTGCAGTGAGTACTGGCGTACATAGGTGGAAAGATCCCTTTAAATTACCCAACCTCTCACAGACCTCTTTTTGAGATAACAATTCCCCCAAATACCAATGAGATGCCATTGGGTAACAGGAGAAGAACATACAGAAGGGATTCAACACTGCCCCATCTAAGCAATTGCTTTCTATAGCTTCCTGAAGATAACAATCCAAAAGAGGTGCATACAGGAAACCAGCGACAAGAGAAATTGCATTGTGAGGAAGAAGCCAACCTAACCATCAACTGCAGCTAAAAAGAAAAGAAAGATGCTAGTGTTAAGGAATTCATTGTTCAGGGCTATAGAGGGAACTCTCTGCTAGCTGAACAAGATGAATTAGGAAGTGTGCTATCTTCCTGGTGTGCATACTCAGGCTGTCACTGATAAGTTGCTGTAGCACATCAAGAAGACAGAGCAGTACCCTTTTCTTCTGATTTATGTGGACACAAACAGCACTGCAAAGAGCACCTTTGAGCATCTTGAACTATGAAGCCCTGGGCAGGAAAGTGAAGTTTAGATGCACAAGTGGCATTCTCACCAATCCTACAGTGAAATATAAAGGGCAACAGAGGGACAGGAAGATACTGCAAGCGAATGACTGGCTACACAGATGTTGATGGGAGAGGTTTGGCTTCTGGAACCATCATCTTAACTTTTTAGATAAATGGCTATTGGATACAGATGGGTTACACCTCACAAAGACCAGGAAGAATGTATGTGGCAAAAGTATGGCAAATCTGACTTTAAACTAAATCCTTGGGGGTATGTGTGTGTGTTGGAGATCATTTGCAAATATCTTGATGACAATGCAGTGATTAGTAGGAACTAGCATGGGTTTGCCAAGAACAAATCCTGCCAAACTAACCATATATCTTTTTTATCAGGTCACTGATTTAGTAGATGGTAGAAATGTTGTGAATGTCATTTATCTGGATTTCAGCAAAGCATTTGATAAGGCCCCCCTGTGACAACTTGATTAGCAAACTGACTAATTATGGACTAGATGTAAACACTATCAGATGGATCCATAATAGATTGGAAAACCATGTTCAAAGTGTTGTTACGTGTAGTAGCCGTGCTTCAAATTGGAAGGAAGTCTCAAGTGGAGTGCTGCAGAGTTCTGTCCTAAGGCTGACACTCTTCAGTATTTCCCCCCCCCCCCAGTGATTTAGATTATAGTATTTTTTTAGCAATGATTTATCAAATTTGTGGATGATACAAAAGGGAAAGGTAGCTAACACATTGGAAGATAGGAATAGTATTCAAAAGGACCTTGATAAACTAGAAAACAGGGCTGAAGTTAAAATAAAATTCAGCAGAGACAAA